GGTCCGATCATGTATCTGGCCCTGACCTACGACCATCGTCTCGTTGATGGCCGCGAGGCATTCAGGGATATCATGTTCGGACAATCCGTAGTGGACTGTAGTGATAGTTGTGCTCCTGCTGTTCTGCTGCGGTAGCAGGGTCATCACATCAGGCTGGCACGAGGGTTGTTTTCTGATCTGACGAGAGCTTTGAGCTGCCGTGTTTGCAGGCCTTAAATACCGGAGCTACTGCAAGCTGATGCAAAGCGGATACCGTTGAGTTCTCAAGATACCCGCTGAAACTTAACAAAGGACCCTCAGTTTCAGGTTAACATGAGCCAGTTCAAGTCGGAGTGAAGCAGCTGCCGCCGTCAGTGTCCTTTACGCATGTCCAGGCCGTCACCTTTTTGTGCATGATCCGAGATCAGGTGGAGGACATGAGCGGAGAAAGTTTTCAAGGTTTGGGGAAACAGCAGCATGGCATGCGCAATGTCGGTGCTTTTGCCTCGTTCCGGTGCAGCATCTTTCGCAATTCATGGTGTGCATTGTGTAGCCCCATCCCCGGTTCGACATTTCGGTTATCGAGAGTTGCACGGAAAGCAAGTTTATCGTTAAGCCAAGCCCTCTTTCGTAATTTGGATCGCTATGATAAGAATGTTGGGCTGGATTCCTGCACAGTCTTTTCATGGTTTTTTCAGGTTCGTGCTGCCTTGCGCATGCGTGATCGTCGGACTGCCGCCCTAACTCTCATTGTCGAAATCCTACGAAAGCACACGCGCTTAAAGCGAATGAGAGGTTGATGGGTTTAGGAAATCAGGTACTGTAATGTAGGGATACCCCCAAACCCTATTCTAATTTATTAAGGCCCCTATATTAGCTGGACTTTAAACCATGAAGTCTGACAGCTGAGCTCTTTGGTCTAAAGGTTCTCATGGGTTCGGGGCCGGCGTGCAGTCTGTCCGGAGATCTTTCCACCCGAAGCCAGAAATCCTTGGGTGCTCATGGCCTTATCACTGTGCCCAAGACTTCCTATCGCACAGGACCCAAGGAGGATGCTGCTTGAAATCTGAGTGGCTTGGCTATTTTGAGCTATCCTTGCTTTTGCCGGACCTGGCGTCATGCTGCACGGCATCATTTGTACGCGAGTTGCTGTGACTCAGGGATTGCTCTGGAACATTTCATGCGACCCAGGTGTTTCCTTGAGCTGCGGATATTTTTCTTGAAGACCCAGTCAGTCGGCTCGATGAGATTATGATGTTTTTTAGAGTTGCCGGGGGTAACACATACTCTCTGGCGGTCTTGGGATCCTGCGTCTCAGAAGACTGAAGAGCGCATCTGGGTCTTCAATGGCGTCTTCACCCCGTGCTTCACCGGCACAGCCCAAGCGAGTGCCGAGAAATGTAGCTTCATGCAAAGCGCGCTTAGGCAGGCTCCAAAAACGACCACAACCAAAGACCAGCCGAGCTGGTAAATGTTGACCGTAGCGGCAGATAGCAGAATCTGACAGGGGCCAGCTGTCGCTATGGAGTCCTTGAACCTACACAGCAGCAACAGTGGCCTGGTCCATCTAGATTGCCTCTTTGGCGGCTCTTAGTGTCGGTCTCTTTACTCGTATGGTTTTTCGTAAGTCGGTGGCACTATGTCGCTAGGTTTCGAGCCACTCAGCCTCGAGAGTGCCAGAGTCCGCGGGCAGTGGTGGGAGCCTGTTGCTAGCTGGCACCTGTACAAGCAGAGAGAGGCTTTGCCCTCAGGTTGATTTGACTGATCTCGGGGCCCAAAGTACCTCCCTAAACCCTAAACCCTAAACCCTAAACCCTAAATCGTATTGTCAAAGAGAGATACTCTTAGGGTCGGTTCCTTTGGGCGCTTTGGATCCCCACGACCGTGCACTGTCTGAGCAGTGCGGACGTCTGTGCCCTTCGGAGCGGAGACGCATCGTTTCCGAACAAAAGGATTCTGGGCTTCTGGGGTTCAGGGATTCCTTATCTTTGAGTTCTAGGGTAGGGGCCTAAATAATTGCCTGTACTACTTTTTGTGGGTTCCTTGCTATGAAACAATTGTATAATAGACCCCCAAATCCTATTCTAATCATTAAGGCCTAAACCCTATAAACCCTAAACCCTATATTAGATTCTGGAGTTCTAGAGTTCTAGAGCCAAAGGAGCCTTGGAGGGGTATTTAAAGGGGTTCCGGAGCTTCTTTCGTGTTATTGGGCTCTTGGCTTGGGGTTTAGGGTTTAGGGTTTAGGGTTTAGGGTTTAGGGTTTAGGGCTTGGGGTTTAGGGCTTGGGGTGTGCCTGTGCTTTGCGGCTCCGAGCCTCAACCTGCCTAAGGCCGCCTTGCCAGCACCTATTTTTTTTGCGTAGGGTTTCGGATTTCGGCATGTTGGGCTTTGGGACTGAACCGCTCTCCTGGACACTTGATTTTGGGTCATAGGTTCAGACTCTCAGTTTTGGGCTGGTCCTTCTCTCATTCCCTATAAGTGCGAACTCTGGAACGGACTCCCTGCAGGGTGCCGTTCGGGGCGCCAGAGCTGGAGCGGATGGCGTGGACGAGGAGTTCTGGCAAGTCAAGTGTAGGGAGCGTGCACGCCCCGCACTGCAATCCCAGTGGTGACGTCGGCGAATCGTAACGATTCAGCAAGAGGACCAAGAGCAGTAGCAGCAGCAGCAGCAGCAGCAGCAGCAGCAGCAGCAGCAGCAGCGGACCCCACCGTCGGCACACAGCAAAATGGAAAGCGTGGGCAACAGTGTCAGCGCTTCATTGATGCGACTGCTGCTGCCTGTGTGACGACGTCAACGACCGCTCTGCTGCTATTGCGACTCGTCCTCCTCCTGCTCCCCCTCCTCGTGCCACTGCTACTGCTGTTGCTGCTGCTGCTGCTGCTGCCGCTGCTGCTGCTACTACTACTCCTACTACTACTCCTCCTGCTACTACTACTACTACTACTACTACTACTACTACCACTACTACCACTACTGCTGCAACTACTGCTACTACTACTGCTGCTGCTACTGCTGCTGCTGCTGCTGCCACTACTGCTGATACTGCTGACACTGCTGCTGCTGCTGTTGCTGCTGC